CCAGAGTTGTATGAACCTGGTCATAAAAGAGTTGTTCAATTACTGGCTCAAAAACCGTTAGTATAGCTGAATTTTGATTAGCACATCATCCACTTTAAAATGCAAAAGGTGCGTGTGTGTAGTTGAATAGGTTTATGGTGTAAATCCAGGACTCAAACGTGCAACATCATCAATGAATTGAGGACAAGAACCAAATCTAGGACGACCTCGAATAGAAAACGTGTACAAAACCAATGAAAGCTAAATTAGAGTATAAGCAAAGGAAAAGGGACGAGGAACAATAGAAAATGTGTGTGAAGATGTGTTCACGAGACACGATTTATTTACGAGTTTGAGTACCGAAGCGAAGCAGCTTCTCTCCCGCGACGCGGGCGACCGTCGGCGGGGGCGCCCCCACTCGCGCAGCGGGCGAGGCGAAGCCTCGTATGCTCTGACAGTGGAGATTCTGTTGATCTGTGAACTCCACTTTTCAGGGTGCAGACCAGTAAATCGGTCCGAAATTGCCTGCGCCGGCCAAATCGCGATTTGCATGCCCTCAAAATCTTCGGTATTTGAGCATGCTGTGGGCCATGAACTTGAGGGTTTGTAAAAAATATGGGTGGAAGCCGTGCACGGGACTGGGAACTTGCAGTTCTGTGTAAATTGGATGTAGTTTGGACCCTAAAAGCGCTCTATTTTGCAATGGAGTGTAGGCATCGTTTTTCAAAATGGCGATGGGCTTCAGGACTATTTTCAGGGGTGATCGTCTTCAGATTGAAATTTCTCCTAAAAGTCATCAGTTGACCTCCCGTAAATTGAACAGAAAATGAAAGATGATGAAATAAGCTTTAATTTGATTTGTGTCTCGAACACCTTGGAGAGTTGTGAGTATTTTTCCCGAATTTTTGAAGTGGGAGCATTTACCATTGGGGTCTATGGAAGTTTATTTACTGGTCTGCTACCTTCATGGCTTCAACAACCCTAATTTTTTTGTACCAGATAAATCACCAGTGGCGGCGCCAGACTATTTTTTTTTGCGGGGCGAGGGCAATTGTCGACAGGCGATCCTCGTTTTTGCCTGGCGCATGCTTCAGCCTAGTCTGAGCAGTCAGTTGCCGTGTCACGCGTAGCTGCTCTATTTTCTCGTCCACACAACTGACAGCAACACTTTATACTTGTCAATAGCAGTTATTATTGGTATCGAAATAAAGCACACGATTTCAACTTTTCACTTATTTAGCCATCTTGGCCAAACAGTGCATGTATCCAGGTACTTTTCGTGTTTTTTCTGTAGTCTCGAATAAATCTCGTTAAATCCCGCGTACGCTTTGGGGTCATGCGTGCGTGACCTCGGGACAAGAAACTGAGGTCAAACAGTGCTGTGTGCGTGACACAGGCACTGACTGTGAGTATCACCCGTTATCCACGTAGCCCAGACTCCTGTCTAACGTGTGATTTATCAAAGCATACAGATTTATGCGATCTCGTGCTTCAGCCAATCGGAGTCGACTTTACTAAATCGTGACGTCATTTCATTCCTAAATCAGGACTGAACGTTTGATTGGTCAATTCGAATGCAGTGTTTTGTAACAGAGCGCGTAACCACAGCCTTTGTTGCTGAGTTTTTTTTTTTTTTATCCATGACGCGACATCGGGTGAATGACCAAAAACCCGATATAGAAAGCGCCCGCTGATTAGTCAAAATCTAGAGGTCAAGATGCGGTTGTCTTGCATTATCAATCAGCAAATCTGCTCAAATTTTATAGACCGCTTCCTTTTTGGAGGTCGCCTCCTTTTTTTTTTAAACCGAAATTTTTTTTTTCGAATTTTTTTTTTAACAAAATGACATCATATTGGCCTATTTGTCTGTTGCATCTTGCCATAATGTCATTTTCTGAGTCCAATGGCGGCCATCTTGAAAAATAGCCCGGTCGGGCGGCCGTTTTGGAGGGAAGAAAGGGGCCTCCAGTTTCCTTTTTTTTTTTTTTTAAGGCAGGACGCTAAACATGATTTTTTTTTATTTGGCATTATGACATGGACATGTGCTAAAGGAAAATTATTACAGTAGCAGTATGGTATTTTGAATTGGGAGATGGCAATTTACTGTGCAGCAAGGGTTGCATAAACGTCATTGGCATAAACGTCATTTTTTGGTGTCTTTTGCATGGGCATAATACACTTCTGCACTAAGGTTACGACATTGGTAGAATTAACGGGGCTTCTAATGTCGTTGGAGTGATGAAACATAATTATGCTAATGTTAACATAAAATTGTTTTCATGGTTTTGCTTGGTCTATTTCATGGGTGTAATAAAATTCTGCACTGAAGTTATGACAACGGTAGACTCATCGGAGCCTCTTAAAACTTTAAAACGATGGTTGTGTTTAAAATTCCGTAACTTAAAGAGTACATGCGTGATTTGAATGATTCTTGTACTGAAAAAAAATGAATTGGGCTTTCATATCCTAGATTTTGAAAGTGCTTATATGCAAAACTTCACTAACAAAATGGTCCCGACATTTGGGTTTCGTTTTTTTACTCACCCTGTATAGACATAATCATGCGCAGCAATAAGCCAATAGCGTTTGGCATACGTTACCCCCAAACAATGTCAACGTTTGTTATATACCAACTCACGGACTAACGGACTAACGATTTAAGGCCAAAAAAAAAAAATACTCGGTTTCTGGTCAGCGCGCGCGTCGATTTTAATCATGCGCGTCAACCTTTTTTTTCTTCAAATTAACACGGAAGCTACAACAGCGCCCTCTGTTGCCGCACCTCCTCAAATTTTTGTACCAAGGAGCACCAAGGAATGGGGAAATTGCACCAAGGCAAATGATAAAGGGCACCAAGGCAAATTATGGAGGACACCAATGTATAATGAGGACACAAAAAAGCAAAATAGTACCCACCTTGTCTGTACAATACAAGCTTGAAAAAAAAAGCCACCAAACCTTCCCCCCCCCCCAAAAAAAAAACCACGTCGCCGCATCAATTCCGGAACTTCGGTCTTACCAGAGACCGATTATTTTTGGGCCCAACGGAGAGACATAATGATTTGTTGAGATGCTACACCACAGCTCATATTTCAGTCACACTTATAATTATCTATAGATGATTGGTCATTCGGCCAAGTGCAGTACAAGGCCAACAGGAGTTGTCGTTGCAGTTGAACAAAGCATGCAGAAACCCAAATCCTATTTAATACAAAGTTAGTCCTATACATACCATGAAAAAGCAAATCAAAAGTACAGTAGATGTAAGTTGATATAAAAAAAAAGAACACGTATAGAAGGCAGAGTCAAGACATGCAGGGAGACGTGCAATGTATCATTGATATTTACCTGCAACAAGACAGCGGCCATTTTGTGGTTGCCACAACTACAACCATCGCCACCGTCCACTCCCAGAACTTGTTAGAATCAGCATCACCCGGGCGGACAAGTGTCCTTGGGTAGATAAACAGTATAGATTTATAGCAAGAAGCAAAGCAGAGAGATGAAATAAGAAAGAATGAATGATAGATAAAGGGAAAGCTTAAGGACAATAATGACTTGAATTAAACCGTTTTGGTACTTGACGGAGCATAACGTCAACAGGTATTTAACCAATTAAAATTGTCACCTGATGTTTTCTAACTATCGAGATGGTAAACAAAGACACTTGACCAAGCAACAAAGTGTAATTAAGAATGACAAAATAATAAAAAGGACTCCTTAAGCCCAATAGTCATGCTATAACTCAAAATTACCTACTTGGTGTCCAGGACCACGAAAGCCATTAACATAAGTATTCGCGTTTTACGTCCATTTCCCGCAGTATACTAAAATGAGGGGTGGACAAGCCTTGACAACTTGTTTCTGAATCTGCCCTTTGGTTCACCACGCACACAAAATGCTGCCAGTGACCCCTGGGCCCCTACTTGGAAAAGAAATGCTTGTTGTCATAAAGTCACTCGTTATTAAGACAAGGGAAAACCCCCAAACGTTTTTCCTCGTACGGACTTTAAAACCCCCCAAATAGGTGAGGGGGCCCTTATTATTTATTCTTTCCGATTGTTTGTCATGTTTTCAAAGATGGTTGTCAAGGTCGATGTATGGTGCAGCCGTTTAAGTTTATATGATGTAATGCATAACATACAAATGATTCATAATTATGGTCCATGTACTTGTCAATCCAGTTTACGCCCCCGGCCGCGATTTTTTTTCTTCAAAACGAGATCGGACAATATTAAATGAGGGCATATTCATTATGTCCAGGGCTTTAGAGAATAAGTTGTACAGCAAGGAATAATGGTGTTTAAATCAGCGACGATTTGCAGCTGATTCGTGGACTGGTTGGAAGTAGTCCTGACTTCTAATCAGGTGATCTGAGTTCGAATCGCAGTGAGCGTTTTTCACTTCTACTCATTTTACCTTTTAAATAACTAAGGCCAAAAAAAAAGTCTCCGGTTTCTGGTATGCGCGCGCGTCGCCGTAGCCATGCGTTTTTTTTCAATGAAAGATGATGTCTCAAAAACTATATTTGCACTAAGTTTAGTCGGGCACCATTTGCCGTCATCAGCCGTACGGACTCCGGTAAAAAAAAAATCAGGTAAAAAAAAAAAAAAAAAAAAGCCGCGTCGCCGCACCACTTTTTGGGCAAGCTCCATACCAAAAACCGGAATTTTTTGGGGGGCCTAAAGTGAGGAAGGAACATTTCTCAAAGCATATCAGGGGTTGTGTTGTGGAGAACAAGGCTTTAGATATGCATAATCGACCAATTAAACGATGGGAAACGGATGTCGTTGGTGGAAAAAGATTCTCCCCCCCCCCCCCACTAAACACCCCTCCCCTCCCCCATCCAATATTCGTGCCAAGTATATATGAATACTTCCCGCATGCATGGGCACACAACCAAAGGGCACCCAAGGACAGACGTGCAACCACGAACATATTAATGCGGCCATTCCGGACAAATGCCTTTTCATATTCACTGAAGCACGACGGTTGGCATAGGTGAAAAAAAACCCAAGGTTTTTTTTTATTTCTGAGCTTACGTAAGGGCTTTTGGACTCGCGACTGGAGCATTGCTCTCTAATGCAAGAATTACCAATGTGTGGTCCAATTAAGTTGAGTTAAGTTTAGTTTATCCAAGAGAGTCTTCGCCAATGGTTATCTAGATAGCACAGTTGTGAATATCAACTCATTGAGTGTGGAGGATCGTCCGGAATGTGGGAAGCCGTAATAAGGCACGTTCTTCATATTCATATGTTAAATCGACCAGAAAGGATCAACAACTGGCTTTGAGTACCTTTCTTCTTGGCGTTAAGGTTGGTATCCAATTTGCTTACATGACACTGTAAACTGAACGTACAAAACGAAAACGTTATCAACGAAACACTGCTTTTCTCATGTGGTGTTAGCTGGTACTGTATCTATTGTCTCTGCATTACGTTATTATTGAAAAAAAAGAAGTTTCCTCCGAATACTGAACGCTTTTAAAAAAATCTCATTGTTGAAAATATCTCGTCTGCTTATCGTTCCGCCATCTTGAGCCAGCGCCAGCAATGAGTATCCTTGAGTTTGGTTCTTTAGGTTGACGTCGCACAAGGGGCGTTTTCCAAACCCTGATCTCGAGTAGTCCGAGTAACTTGGACCCAACTTATCGCCTTTTTTAACATTTGGACATGGTCTGGCGATAGTAAGGTCCAAGCTAATACCGAGACCTAGACAACACAGTCCAGCAGTGCATTATGCCATGAGGTCGAGGTCAGACGCCACTATTATGCAGTTTTGAACGTGAGCACAACAACGACAACCTAGGCAGAGGGGGTCTTCAGAATTGAACGGAAAATTTCACTTTTTTTCCGGATCGTAAGTAAACTTCAGTACAACCATCTTAATTATCGATGTCTACTTGTACCTCAGGTGGCATATCTAGTAATTTGGAGGCCGTTTTGAAGGTGAAATCTGATTTTTTTGTTGGAAAATGTTGGTTTTTGGGACTGCGTTGTCTAGGTCTCGGTATTAGCTTGGACCTTACTATCGCCAGACCATGTCCAAATGTTAAAAAAGGCGATAAGCTGGGTCCAAGTTACTCGGACTAGATCTCGAGTGACAGTATTCTCGGGTTGCTGATTACCGTAACGCTCAAAGTGCGTGCTGTGGAGTGCAACTGGGTGAAACATCGAGATGGCAGCCGCCATATCAAAACGCCGGACAGCTATAAGAGATTGGCAAAGACAAGCTAACTCCCTATTCTCGAGTGACAGTGTTTTCGGGTTGCCGGTTACAAACGCTCAACGGTGCGTAAACATAACGCTAGGATCATCCTAGCTACGGTGCGTGTGACTACAAATTTGTATCCTTGTGGAGACACACACACAATAGGGAACAAAACATTGTAAAGGTCTCCACAGGGCAATTTCTATAGATGAATAGGTCTCCACAAGGTTTTCACGAAATAGATATACATGTATGGGTTTTACTCAAAAAGTAGGAATTTCCAAGGTGGGTTGATCAGTCGCAAATGAGTGGAAGAGTTTTAGAAAAGGGATATTAAGTCCAAATTTCAGCCAAGGAAACTAATTCTGGTTAAAATAAGAGCATTTTGAAACTTCACTTTCAAAATTGAACACTTTACTACACGAGAACAAAGAAATGTCTCCACAAGGATACAAATTTGAGAATGTGTGGAGTGCATCAAGGCGAAAAATCAAGATGGTAGCCGCCATATTACAACGCTGAACAGCTATTAAAATTGGCAAAGACAAACCCACTCTATGATTACATTTGATTTGTTATCATTACCGCTTCTGCGCTGAATGAATGTTTTCAATTTTATGCACACAATAAGTAACGCAAGTTGCCGTTAGGGCCTTATTCGTCCATGTTTATTCTTGACGTTCTTCATCTGCTCCCTGCTGAGTTGGGTGGGGAGGTTGAGTGGGGGAGGGGGGAGGTTGAGTTAAGGCCTGGCGAAGGCACGCCTTGCTAGGTGGTCCGTAGGTATCCTCCGGAAAATGTTGAAATCTACGTTGTTTTCTCCTGCATTCGAAGGAAATTGGAGACTAAATACAGACTTTTTATATTTTGCCCCACTTTACCAGTATCATAATTTTGTCAGCGGCTGAAGGGCAACCCCACCCCCTCTAGATCCGCCAGTGTGCCATGTGCTCAACTTGCATTTAGTTAACTGTATAAGCGTAAGAAAGTAAACGTCATCTCTAAAACTGTTTTCCAATATAAAGGTTTATTATCAGTTCATAAAAATTATACTTTTAACAGCACCCAATTAACCCGAATGCTTCAAGCTCCCCCTTTTTTTTTTTAGCTGGCTTCCAACTTCAGACCTTGATTTTTCTTCCTATTTGTCGAATTGTCATCTGACACTGAATGCACGGTAGCTTGTCCAATGTATGGACATTATTATTGTAAGGAACTGTGCCTGAGCAAGGGCGACCTCTTAGTGCTTTCCAATATTATTAGTAGATGACGTATCTGATTTGTATGTTGCTATATGGAACATTACTTTGTTGGTGACCTTTGTGCTTCCCGCGCAAGGACGGTGTACATTCATATTCAATAACATGAGAAGCTAGTCGATCCTCAGGTCTATCTTTCACAATTTAATTCGTGATTATTGTATAATTTTATACGTTCCCATGTACTTTATACATGTCATTCCAAGATTATTGTTTGTAGGTTCATTGTCTGGTTGAACAATTAATTGTCGAGGTGTTTGCCTTATAGCGTATAAATATTCAGACGAGTGATTTGGCAGCTCCTCGAGACTGTATACCTTTCTCGGTCTTTTTCTGGAAGATTCTTCAACTAAAAACGGCAGATTTAATGAATTTAATGCATCAAGTGTCCACAACGAGATACCCAACTGAAAATACTCCGCAGTTTTGACGCAAAGTGTTGTTGTAGACGGCGTTCAACTTTAGATGCCGTTCTCTCCGATTGCTAATTTTTTTTTACTGGTATGTACATGAGTGTTACTTCGTGGTGTCGCTGACGAATTATTGTATCAAAATGTACCAAAATAATACGGAAGAGTCAAATGAATAATTATAGAGGAATAGCACTCCAGTACGAATATATTTAAACAACTAATGATTAGGCCAAAAAAAAAGTCTCCGGTTTCTGGTATGGAGCTTGCCCAAAAAGTGGAGCGGCGACGCGGCTTTTTTGTTTTTTTTACCTGATTTTTTTGCTTCAAATGTCGGCTGATGACTGCAAATGGTGCCCGACTAAATATATGGGAGTCCAGAGAGGCCACATAAAGCTTATTCTCGACCATAACCCAATCTAAAAACACGTTAAAATTGTGCAGCAGCATGATTCCAGTCAAACCAGTGAGTTTGGCGGTTTTGAGACATCATCTTTCATTGAAAAAAAAAAACTTTTTCATTTTGCCGACGCGCATGGCAACGGTGACGCGCGCGCATACCAGAATTATTTTCTGTCATGTTTTATTTTCAATGAAATAGTTTTAAAAAAATGAATAACATAGTGTTGCGTTCCCGCAAATTGCGTAGTTTACTTCTTTCCCCACCAATCCATTCTACTCCGTGCACAGCGTAATGCTTACAGCGATCCTGTGTGCCCTCACACAGCGCGAAGCTTACCACGAAGTCTTAGACACACGCACAAGTGTGCAGCACATTGTACAGTACGCTATTGTATAGCGCGCAATGCATGTAGCACTCACAGCTATTGAACATGTACCGCCATGGGACATGTACTTAGGACTTTGCCATTTTCCCTCCACCTTTCCCCGGAGTCGATGCGAATTCCCCTCACACTCCTTACCTCGCATCCGACCCACATTGACCACAAGCATTTAGCGAATGTGGCTCGCTAAAACCTACCCGTTTATTCACCCCTTATACCCCGTACACCCCAGCGAGTGTGTCCCGCTAAAAACCCACTGGCCGAGACCTACGGTAGCTAGAGGTCAGGTAGTAGGGGAGAAGGGCGGATACCAGACTTTGCCATAGGTCTGGGGGTAGTACAGGGCCAGTGGGGAGAGGGGCAGGTACCAGACTTTACCCCTCTCCCTTTCCCCCACCCACTGGCCACGCCCCCACCCCACCCGCCCCTCCCGATATCTCAGCCCCAAGCCAAAACCGGGGCTCAATATCTCTCGTCTTGAAGATCTCCCTCACCAGCCGGTGAGTCTGATTGCTTATAAATCCAAAAGTCTGACCTCTTAAAAAAAATTAAAAAAAATTATATTGATATATATAAATGATGAGTATGATCAAGCCAATCGTTAAGGGATTTTCTAGATGGAATAAAGCCACGCTGCGCGATTACGTCCAGCGATATAATATACCGTACGATCAAAATGTTGCTCTTACGCGTAAAGTCTACATCAACGGGATAAAAAAATACGAAGCTCAATTTAGAAACTTGAGGAAAAAGAAGCTACATGAGCTCAAACAGATTGTAGACGATTATGATCTAGAATATAACCCGTCGGGTTATAAGGGTCGATTTTTGAAAAAAGATTTACTCTCGGCGATTCAAAACTCTAGGCAACCCGAGTATTTTCAAGAGGCTGAGTTTAGAGCGACGAGGAGATTTAGAAATAACTTTAGAAACTGGGAACTGATTCCTAGACTTTTTAACGACGATTTAGTCAAGTTTTTTGATACGCACAAAGATCAAATTGTAAATAAAATCAAGTCAGAATTGAGAGAGCTGAGAGGTTTAAAAATGGAGCTCACAATCAAAATAAAATACGAAAAAACCAAACCCGATGGTACGATCGAAACGATCGAAGCTACACATTTTACCGATCAGAGAGTCGTTTTAAATCAAAGTCAAATAAAACAGGTTTTAAAAGAAGACATCGACCAGATATTTAAAAAGGATGAAAGGTATACGAATCAAGGATCGGGTTGGGTTTTAAAAAAGATAATGGCGTTGTATATCAACATCAACAGGTTTAACCCTGTGAGAGGTAGTTCTTATATTGACCTACCAAAATGTATCAAACAGAAAACGGCGATGATTAACATTAAAAACAAAGACGACGAGTGTTTGAGATGGTGTTTGAGAGCTGCTCTTGGGTTGTATACGGATAAAGTAAAAAATAACATAAAAAACGATCCTAAATATAAAATTCATAAAGAAGAACCTGTTGTATACACCAAAGACGACGGACTCAAATTTAAAGGCGTAGACTTTCCAACACCGATCGACCAGATACCAAAGATAGAAAGACAAAATAATTTAACGATAAACGTATACGGTTATGAGGGGGAAATATATCCGTTATACGTGTCTAAAAACTACAAACCAGAGTCACGACCTATCG